AGATCCGGTACGTACAAATTTGCTAGGTCCAATTGATGATCCAAACCCACTAATTATTCAAGCTTAAAATCTGGTCTTTTATTATGTGGAATTAAATAATTTCTTTCCAAATATGTCAATTTTCTAAAGAATAATTTTAAATCTATAATTCTTTAACCTTAGCTTTTCTATTTCGAGCAATCTCAGCGAAGCGTTTAATAATAGTACAGAGCTCTCAGTTTGACGTCATATGCAGACCTTTGATTGTTTTCATCCCAGCCAAAAAATATGTCCATATATCCAGACGATCGATTAAACATATTTTTAAATCATACTAATAGAAACTTTTTTCCTAATTTATTCATATAATAGATGTTGACTTAAATGTATATTATACATATACTAAAAGCAAGTTCTTTTGTTAAACAAATATTACTTGATATTTTACAGTAGTTTATATCCTTGAAACTGATTTAATAAACTTCTGCTGGGATGAATTGGAAGAAAACCTGGTGTATTTTTTTTTTTTTTTTTTGACAAAAGAAACAGAGCTTAAAGCCCTGTTCATGTATATATATATATTCATGAAAGTATAAGAGGTAACATTTACAGTAAGAGAGTGTGGTGAAGAGAGGGGAAACATTGGAAGATGTGAACTACCAAGAGAGGGCCTTGCCGTCACCGATAATTACAAATCTTCAATGTTCCCTCCCTCATACCAGCATCAAAACAACAAAAAGGAAATCCAAAAGACAGAGTAAGAACCTGGTGTATTTTAACTTTAACAACATGTTGAACTCCGTTGTATTCTGAAAGCGGCTCAATCTTAAATCCTGGTAATTTGGAAGAAGCCTTATTCTCAGGTACAAAACCATTGCACAAAAGATTGTAGCAGCCTGTAATCTTAGAACCGTCACCCTAGCGGATAACGTTTATGACAATTCGATAAGAAAAATGTATCATATATGTGATAATTTAATAAGAAAAAGAATATATATATATATATATATATATAGGTTAATGGGTTTTCGTATGGTCAATGAGAGGATTTCCTCCTTGAAAAATGATGTCACAATCCCCACCATGTGAATAAAGTAGGAGACAGAATATCATAGGTGGAGATTGTGTCATATCATTTTCAAGGAGAAAATCTCTCCTATGATAAGGATACACATTATTCTTTATATATATCTATATATATATATATATATATTATATATATATATTAATATAATATATAATATATATATATATAATATATATATATATATATATATATAGAGGAATATGGATATACTTGGTACCAAGAACAAATTTTGTGCTTGGTAGTGAGGTGGCACAATCACCTCCATTCATTCAAATGGGGACCACATTCATATGAGTGAGGTGTGCATGGGGATATGTAACTATTTGAATGAGTGGAGGGGATTATGTCACTTTACTACCAAGCACAACATTTGTTCTTGGCACCAAGTATATATATATATATATATATATATATATATATATATATATATATATATATATATAATATATATAATAAATATATATATAAATATATTATATAGAGAGAGAGAGAGAGAGAGAGAGAGAAAGAAGAGAGAGAGAGAGAGAGAGAGAGAAATGAGTATGCTTGGTACCAAGCACAAAATTTGTGGCTTGGTAGTGATGTGTCACATCCTTATCCACTCACTACCCATGTGAATGTAGTCTCATATTTGAATGAGTGGAGAGGGATGTGACACATCACTACCAAACACAACTTTGTGCTTGGTACGCAAGCATACCCATATTGCTCATATATATATATATATATATATATATATATATATATATAATATATATATATATATATATATATATATATATATACATGCATGAGTATTATACATCGAAAAGAAGATAAAAAAATTACCGTCCAATAAGTAAAAAAATGAGTATCTGTATCGTTATACAGATCCGGATACACCTAGCATTCAAAATGTTGAAAGATAATATTAATTGCATAAATCTTATAATATTCATAATGACATTATTTTATTTTCCCCAAATTCAAAAATTGAGAATTTTTTTCTGAAATGTAAAAGATATCTTAATATATTAATGAACAAAATATGTATATTATGGAAATGTTTAGCAAGTATTGTGTCTTAAATAGTAATTTCTCACATGCCATCCGGCCGATATTGAATTAACATTATTAGATGGACCATCCAACCCATTAGCAATGCCAATAAATACTGCAGAGTATTGGTTGCGTTTGATATTTGGTAATCCATAGACCACAAGTTCTGCTTGACTTCCCCATTGTCCTTCCCTGCTTCTGTATTGTGCAAACTGCACATAAAACAAACATGGAATTGATAAAAATGTCATACTAAAAAAGAAAATAACCGAAGGGAGTTTGAAATGAGTGACATTAAGAGCCTACATGACCAACACGATCAGGTAGAACAGTAATAGAAGCGTGATTAGAAATATAATTTCTCTCCGGACGCCCAACTTTTTGAAGGAACGCCTCGTTCTGCGCCAAAAAAGTCATAACTTTACTCCAATATTTTCTTATTCATATAAATAATAGAATGGAAGAATAACAATTATATCACTATACAAATCAAAGAAATATCCGTAAAAAAATTTATGATTAAAGAAGCACTAAATGAAATAGCCGTGACCATCTTACTGAATGCCGACTAATATTTGAGGAATATGCTAAAACTATTGGATGCCAGCGAAGATTTGAGGAATATGCTAAAACTGTATTTTGAAAACCATGGCTTTGTTGATACTATGTTAAACAATAGAAAATGGTGGAGGAAAATAAGTCCCAAGGCAAAGGAAAATATATATACCAGACGTGGACAAAGGACAAGGCAAAGGAAAATAAGTCCCAAACCGTAAAACTCCATTTTGTTGCTTACACTGGTGAAGATCTAGAAAGGCCCTGATTTCCAATCTTTTATAGGACGAATGTATTTAAAGGAAGATTTCCTACCATAATTTCTTAAAGGATGATTTCCGGTGCTTTCTTAAAGCGTAGATACATATATGATTTGGAATCTTTTCTTAAGGAAATGGATATATTTATGATTTTGAATCTTTTCTAGGATAAATATTTATGGTTAATGCATGCACAAAATTTTCTTAGAGATGCAGTTTTGTTGCTTTGTATGCAGGCAATATGGAACTAAATACAATTACGTAATCACAATTATTCTCTCAAATTACATTCATAATACCTCTCAATCATCAAATCTCTAATTTACTCTCCTAATATACTTACTTAATACTATTTATTTTCTAAATTAAGAGTTAGAGGAAAATATATATATATATATATATATACCAAAAGTGGACAAAGGACAAGGCATAGGACAAGGCAAAGGAAAATAAGTCCCAAACGTAAAACTCTGTGAACGCCATTTTGTTGCTTACACTGGTGAAGATCTAGAAAGGCCCTGATTTCCAATCTTTTATAAGACGAATGTATTTAGGGGCTGTTTGGTTCATTTTTTAACTCGGTGGAAATGTTTTACATCGTCTTCACATCAGATTTTTCGTGGCCACGTAGGATATAAGCTTTCCGTCGGTTTTTTCCCATCTTTGGTTCGCTAGGGTTGAAGAAGGGAAACAAATTTATGATTAAAGAAGCACTAAATGAAATAGCCGTGACCATCTTACTGAATGCCGACTAATATTTGAGGAATATGCTAAAACTATTGGATGCCAGCGAAGATTTGAGGAATATGCTAAAACTGTATTTTGAAAACCATGGCTTTGTTGATACTATGTTAAACAATAGAAAATGGTGGAGGAAAATAAGTCCCAAGGCAAAGGAAAATATATATACCAGACGTGGACAAAGGACAAGGCAAAGGAAAATAAGTCCCAAACCGTAAAACTCCATTTTGTTGCTTACACTGGTGAAGATCTAGAAAGGCCCTGATTTCCAATCTTTTATAGGACGAATGTATTTAAAGGAAGATTTCCTACCATAATTTCTTAAAGGATGATTTCCGGTGCTTTCTTAAAGCGTAGATACATATATGATTTGGAATCTTTTCTTAAGGAAATGGATATATTTATGATTTTGAATCTTTTCTAGGATAAATATTTATGGTTAATGCATGCACAAAATTTTCTTAGAGATGCAGTTTTGTTGCTTTGTATGCAGGCAATATGGAACTAAATACAATTACGTAATCACAATTATTCTCTCAAATTACATTCATAATACCTCTCAATCATCAAATCTCTAATTTACTCTCCTAATATACTTACTTAATACTATTTATTTCCTAAATTAAGAGTTAGTGGAAAATATTTATATATACCAAAAGTGGACAAAGGACAAGGCATAGGACAAGGCAAAGGAAAATAAGTCTCAAACGTAAAACTCTGTGAACGTCATTTTGTTGCTTACACCGGTGAAGATCTAGAAAGGCCCTGATTTCCAATCTTTTATAAGACGGATGTATTTAGGGGCTGTTTGGTTCGTTTTTTAACTCGGTGGAAAAATATTACACCGTCTCCACATCAGATTTTTCGTGGCCACGTAGGATATAAGATTTCTGTCGGGTTTTTTCCCCATCTTTAGTTCGCTGGGGTTGAAGAAGGGAAACAAATTTATGATTAAAGAAGCACTAAATGAAATAGCCGTGACCATCTTACTGAATGCTGACTAATATTTGAGGAATATGCTAAAACTACTGGATGCCAGCAAAGATTTGAGGAATATGCTAAAACTGTATTTTGAAAACCATGGCTTTGTTGATACTATGTTAAACAGTAGAAAATGGTGAAGGAAAATAAGTCCCCAAGGCAAAGGAAAATATATATACCAGAAGTGGACGAAGGACAAGGCAAAGGAAAATTAGTCCCAAACCGTAAAACTCCATTTTGTTGCTTACACTGGTGAAGATCTAGAAAGGCCCTGATTTTCAATCTTTTATAGGACGAATGTATTTAAAGGAAGATTTCCTACCATAATTTCTTAAAGGGTGATTTCTGGTACTTTCTTAAAGCGTAGATACGTATATGATTTAGAATCTTTTCTTAAGGAAATAAATATATTTATGATTTCGAATCTTTTCTAGGATGAATATTTATGGCTAATGCATGCACAAAATTTTCTTAGAGATGCGGTTTTGTTGCTTTGTATGCAGGCAATATGGAACTAAATACAATTATGTAATCACAATTATTCTCTCAAATTACATTCCTAATACCTCTCAATCATCAAATCTACTTTCCTAATATATCTTATTTAATACTATTTATTTCCTAAATTAAGAGTTCGAGGAAAAATATATATACCAAAAGTGGACAAAGGACAGGGCAAAGGACAAGGTAAAGGAAAATAAGTCTCAAACGTAAAACTTCGTGAACGCCATTTTGTTGCTTACACTGGTGAAGATCTAGAAAGGCCCTGATTTCCAATCTTTTGCAAGACGAATGTATTTAGGGGCTGTTTGGTTCGTTTCCTAGAAATAGGGAAATGCATTTCCATGTACAAAAACATAAGTTTTGAGTTTTTCAAACTTTTCCAAGAAATAGATTGTTTCGCTTTGGTTCGCACAAAAAAATGGTGGGAAACCAATGTATTTATTTTTCTTGTGTTTGGTTCGCATGAAAAAAAGGGAAAACTTTTGTTTATATGGCAAAAAGCTGATGTGGCTGTAGTTTTCGTCGATTTCACGAGGTTAAGGAAGGAATTGAGGGAGAGAAAAAAAATCTGATGTGGCAACGATTTTTACCGAGTTTCCCTTCTTCAACCCTAATGAACCAAAGGTGGGAAAAAAACTAACGGAAAGCTTATATCCTACGTGACCATAAAAAATCTGATGTGGAGGCGGCGTAAAACTTTTCCACCGAGTTAAAAAACGAACCAAACATCCCCTTAAAGGAAGATTTCCTATCATCATTTCTTAAAGGATGATTTCCAGTATTTTCTTAAAGCGTAGATGCGTATATGATTTGAAATCTTTTCTTAAAGAAATGGATATCTGGAATAATTTTTAGGATAAATATTTATGATTACTGCATGTAGGAACTTTAATTCGTGATTAATTCATAGAGATTAAACACAAGAGCGGAAGCAATACCTGAATCCATGACAATTTGAGCACGAATCTGAATTAGGGTTGATCTTCTAATCTGAAAGGTTTCTTTTTTGAGAATTCTCTTTAGATGGGGATTAGAGAATAGATAACGTAACCTTTAGATTAGGGACCATAACCATTTTATATAGATTTGCAATTTTTTAATTTATCCCCTCATAAAATTAGAACTGCAGTCTGGTATCTGCACAATTAGCCCATGACTCATTTAAATACCCATTAACCCAGTTGACTTAATTGATCACTTTATGTGGGTTAACCTTAAGGATAACATTATACACTAATGTAACATATATGCCCACAATTAGATAAATTGGGATCCTCTCCATATCCTAATATTTGCTAATGAGAATTGTAAAGAGTTGGGAGGGTGGCCCACATGGATGGGTAGGAAAATGAAAGGCCATGATCAAAATGAAAGGCTAGGATCTCCTTATTAGGAGATATTAGGAAATTTTCGTTAGGAGAGGATCCTAGTCCTAATTAGATTTAATCCAACAATCTCTCACTTGGGCACTATATGTTTCATAAAAATGTGTACAACCTTATGAGCTCAGAAATTGCTATCACAAATAACACTTGGGCACTATATGTTTCATAAAAATGTGTACAACCTTATGAGCTCAGAAATTGCTATCACAAATAAGGGTATTTCCAAACAATCTCGTCCATTGACTGTACAACCTTATGAGCTCAGAAATTGCTATCACAAATAAGGGTATTTCCAAACAATCTCGTCCATTGACAATATTAATATAGAATCGAAGCGGTCTTCATCACATTTATCGTGACTAAATCCATCAATGGTCACATATACCAATATAATTAAACAACATAGATCAATCATGGATGTGCAGCATAAAAATTATATGCAATGTAATTAGTACATGTATATTTTCAACTAGTCATACCTTAAACTTTAGCGAGGTCAAAACCAAACATAATGAAATAGAGTGTCTTAACTGAATACTTTATTCTGATCAGACAATACAACTAAACACAAAGCACCAGAAAATTACAAACTCCCACTAAATCATGATATCCTCAAATAATACCACACACATACGAGCAGTGTGCTCATGAAGACTTTAGGTGGCAATCCTTTTGTAAGAGGATCAGCTATTATGGAATTTGTCCCAATATGCTCTATAGATATATGTCCACTCTGTACTCTTTCTTTCATAACCAGGAACTTAATGTTAATATGTTTTGACTTAGTTGAGTCCCTGTTGTTATTGGAATATATAACTGTAGATTTATTGACACAAATTAACTTTAATGGTCTTTCAATATTTTTCAGAATGCACAGTCCAGTTATAAAATTCCGCAACCATATTCCGTGATTGGATGCCTCATAGTAATCTATAAATTCTGTTGCCATAGTGAAGGAAGCTACGACTGTCTGCTTGGTACTTTTCCATGATATAGTTATTTTCGTCGAAAATTGCTTTCATTATGGATTCCATTAAGATTCAATCGCTTATAATGAATTACACAACAAAAATATGAAGAAAAATTATAACTTCCTAGAAAATAACACAGAAATTGTTTATCAACTCCTGTTTTTGTGGGATCTTAGCCTGTGCCGGGGGTGCGTTAGCCCGTGAACCACTAATTCACAATATTTTGATTGAATCGTAAAGGCTTTCGGGTATCCTTCTTCGTTTATCGAAGTAAAAATCTTAAATGAATATCTTATCAATGTAAGATGTTCACTCTTCTAAAGATCAAGTCAGAGCTTAGGTCTCTAGGAATCACCAAAAGCTTCTTTAAAGTGTTTGTGGGGGAATAAAGACTCTTTCTCTCTTGCGCCAAATCACCAAAAATCTCAAGTCTTTCTTCTCTAGATGCTCTATATGCTTGGTATGCGTGTATAGGAAGGTATTTATAGGGATAGGGATCCATAACTATTGAAATGAGAGTAAAACAACTGATCAAGCACAGTTCTTTGGGCGCGACAGTCACCACTGTCGCGGCTGAAGAGGCAGTTCAAGATTCTTGTGTAACCGCCCTCCTTTGCATTAATGGTCGATTTTTACATTTTTCTCGACGTGTAACCATCCCTCCACGTCAGTGCACGTTCTCCTTTTGTTATGATGCCACGTGGACCCCACAAAGATGCTAAAGACCATTAATAGATCAGGAGATGCTCTGCTGCTTGCGCGACACCATACACTGTCGTGCCTATGCGCGTCAGTGTTGTCAAACCCCCAGCAAATGGATTCAGAAGATGAGTTGCAAGAATCGTCATCTGACTCTTCTTTGGTTCCAAAGCACAATGTGAATGGTGGGGATTCATAACCTAACCCACTACGAGTTTTGTGGTAGTAATCCTTCAATTTTCCTTCCGGGACATAAGCGAATCAGATTGGTGTCCGGATTCCTTTACCAAAATTTAAACTTTCTTTATGGATGAAGTTGTATCCCATTTTCTTCATAAGCTTACAAGATGTTGGAGTAAAATATGAGAATTACAGATCTTTTTCTTCCTTGGATTCTTCTAAACAAATTTACGACGGGCCATCGCTCTTCCCGAAGATAATGTCTTTTTGGCCATTGATGCGGCATAATTATGTACCAAAAATTGCAAGTGCATAATTTATCAAGTTATAGTATAAAAAGATATTGATCCCACGAAGAAGGTGATTTTAAGAGATTATTAAACTTGGTTCTTATATTTTGTGCATGACAATTAGGAAAAAAAGAATAAGTGTGAATGTGATGAGTGATTGTTGTGAATATATGCAAAAGATAATAAATTGAATTTTAGAGGAGAGAAGGAAGAATTAAAGAATAAATGAAATCACAAGGCAAGAAATATGAATTAATAAAATCAAGAAATAAAACCAAAAATGAAAAAAAAAATTAAGAAAGTTAAGATGAAGGATTCAAAAGAGGTAAGAAATCTAGAATATAATCCACTAACCAATTTCAATTATAAAATATAAACTATTCTCTTTTTATCATATTTCAACTTAGATTTATTAAGCATAGATTATCAAACCATTTAAGGAAAGTGTAACCTATCAAATTATCATCTAAGTTAAAATCACTATTCATGATAAGAACAACAACATGATAATAATCCTAGAATTCATAAGCATAACCTATCAAACCATTTAAGGAAAGCATAGATTATCAAATTCTTCTTCTACCGATTAGTTCTCTAGTTGATTATCCTAAACATGAACATTTTAAGTACAAGAGAATAATTCATATAATATAAGAAATTAGACTAGTTTCATACAATTCCAAGATTCTTACAAGAATTAAATTCATATCTTAAGAAATAAAAACAAGAAAAAGAAGACTAATTACAAAATTAAAAAGAAAAGAAAAATCTAAACTATAAACAAGAAATAAATCTAATTACAAAGAAAATAAAAATCTAAACTACAAAATAAATTGCAGAAATTAAATGCAAGAAAAATAAATCTACTCTACAAATTAAAGTACAAAAAGAAAATAAAAAAGACAAGAAAGTAAATCTACACTACAAGCATGAATTTAAATCTAACTAATAAGCAATAATAAAGAAATTACTAAAAAGAAATAAAAGAGAAAAGAAATGCAAACCTTCAAATTGCTCTTCATCTCCATCCTCATCATTCAACAAGAGGAGAAAGAACAAATTTAAAGAGGAAAAAATTATTTTTATTAATTGCAACTAAAGTTACAATTTTTGGAAAGCCTTCTCAATTAAGAGTAGCCATCCTCTCCAAAAGGAGTTTACAAAATTTTTACACCTCTAACCCCTCACTCTCTACCCCTATTTATAG